GGTAACTGAGTCAAAAACATTAAGCTCTTTACAACATCTATATTAAATGCATTTATTGGTGAAAGCACTTTATGAATTAGAACACAGAATGTCAATGATGTATGCTGTATAATAAATGGTTGTTGTATTTAAATTTTAGTAGAAAGAGAATACTAAGGAATTTTTTTTTAATATTGGTAAATTCTGACTCTGCCTTTGATCATGTTAGTGACCCTTGTAATAATTGTTCCAGTGTATGCTCATGACAGGAGAACCTAAACAGAATTCAAAGAAAAATTAATTTTCTCATAGGAAGTCTGATTCCAGAAATATTTTATAGCACTTTATAGTCTACAATGTATTTAAACATAAATAATGGAAACTGAGCCTAAATAAAAGACTGAGAGATTCATAGCACAGGTTTTATGAGTACTATTTGCAGATAAGCAAACTGAGACCCTGAGAAGTTTGGCCAGAATCAGTTCCAAATTCCAAATGTCAACTGACATAGAAAATAAAACGTATATGTCATTCTCTAACTTATTTTAGAAAAACATTTTTGATTTACCAAATTTCTTTTCTAAAATTCTTAGTCTCAATGTTCCTCTATCTGGTCTTTATGTAATTCTGAATTTTCATCAAAGCTTTTGGTTCCATTCCCCTCCGAGACCATATGCAAAGATGTGGCCTCTGTCTAGGGCATCTGGATGGAAATCCACATTGCTATTGTTCAGTGCCGAATTTTGCTAATCATTTTATAAAATATTTTAAAATACATTGTGGTGCTTTGAGGCCTAATATCAAGATGTTTGCAAAAGTTAGTCTTATCAAGTCAAAGAGCTAAATTCAAACATAATTCAAATATGTTGACTACTTGATCTTATTCCCCAAACCTGACCTATAGAAGCATCTGATGGCTTCACGATCCCTCCAGTTGCTCAGCCCATACAACTAGTCTTTAATTTCTCTTTACTTCATACCTCTACTTCTAAGCCATTAGAAAATTTCTGTTGCTTTTTACCTAAACATAAATCCAAAATTTAACCAATTCTCACCACTTCCTCTGCTACCCCACTGGCCCAAGCCACCATCATCTCTCTCCTGGTTGGTACAGTAACCTCCTTACTGACTTCCCTGCTTTTATTCTTGTCCCTTTAGAGTCTATTCCCTCTCTGACTTCATCTCCAGTGATGCTCCACCCTGTTCTCTCCACTCGAGACTGATTGGCCTCTTTGTTATTCATTGAACACATTATCTGCTCCCACCCACCTGAAGGCTTTTGCCCTGGTCACTCCCCATATACACTTACGTTTAACAACCTCATCGTCTTCAAGGTTGCTCAAGCCACTCTCTTAGTGGCCCCAACCTATTTAAAACTGCAATCCACCTCACCCCTTGCACTCCAAATCTTCACTATCTTCCTTCCTTTGCTTTTTCCTATAGTACATACGACCTAATAATACACTGTCTATGTTTGTTTTTTAATTGTCCATCTTCCCCCTTTAGAATGTAAGCTGACGTCTTTGTTTTGTACACTGATGTACTCTATAAGTGTCTGGAACAGTATCTAGCACATAGTGGATATTCAGACTGTTAAATGAATGAAATATCTGAGGCCAACCCACTGTTAAGATATCAGTACTTCCACTTTAAGCCCTGGTTTTCTAAGTTTGTATTTGGCAATTCAGTTTCATATCGGACTGAAATTTGGCATTATATAACTGAGATTGGATTTATTTACCCAATTTGAACAAAATATGTTCAGCTATTTGAAGTACTGTAAGTGCAATAAGAGAGTCTTTAGATATATGACACTGTTTTATAAGGATATAAATCATAAAGGGCCTTGATTCACTGGGGAAATTTAACTTGTCAGGTAGTTTATGGTTTGTTCTGTATGTGGTGTTACTGCAAAAGAATTTGCTAAATACATAATGTAGTATAATTTTGCTTCTTTTGAAAGGTAAATAAGAAGTAATCACCTTGTTGTAGTTAACAAGTAATAAGAGAATAACTTTGAAAAGCACAATAGCAGATTACTAAAATCTTTGAAAATACACTTTTTTTTTCTTTTGAGGGACTACTCTACATCTTTAGAGTGATTTCTGTAGACTCAAGTGTTCAGTCGGGTTTAGGATTGCATTATCTTATTTTTGGATTTCCCTGCTAGCCTCAGGAATGGTCTTCCCTCTTCAGGCATTTCACTACCTTGAACCAGCACAGACCTGGTGGTGATGCTGGCTTAAGGACTGCTGCCAAAGTAGGGACCACCCAGAGTGCCTGGACTTGGACTCAATCCAAGAACAGCTACTGATCACTATTGAGGAAGAGATCAATAGCAGCATTTAGAGAAAATATCAATTTTGAGATCCAAAAGGTGAATGTGAAGTCAGAGCTATGGAGCAAGACAAGATCAGAAGCCAAGGTGCCAAGGAAATGTCTGAAAACTAAGGGCAAGGTCTATAACACAGCAGCAAATGTTATTCATCACAATTAATGCAAGACTTCTCCCAGGAAAAGCAAAGTGAGAGAAGTACATTTTCAGTGGGCTCTTCTGTGCTTCTGTCAGGGAATGAGAGAAGAATAGAAAACACAAAGTTGATAGGGCCTCCAGCCACCCAAGAGGGGCCCTCTGCTGCTGTTAGGCAAAGCAGACATCTCGGTGGCTACTTCCCAGGGAGAAGCTGGGATGGTGAGGAGAAAACTCAGGCTTGCAAGCAACAGAGATGTGACAGAGTTATAAATACAACTCCCTTTAGTCTTCTTTTAATAGATACGAATTGTCAAGCACCATTTGGGATGTTAGATGATAAAAGTTACAATATGCCAAAGGGAATATTCAAAACTATGTTTACTATTCTCATAAAATTTATGGTCTAACTAAGAAGACAAGAGATGTCTATATGAAAAAGTGAAGATCACTTGCTGATCACCTAAGTATTTCTACTTTCCAGCTTCTTAACCTTTCCATACACACTTCTTAAGAATAGTTTCTTCAAGATTGTATCCAATCTTACTGGATGAGGAAATTTTCAGGGATCAATCCCATGTATATAAGACTAACATTACATAAGCAGTTTATCCTGTATCAAATGTGATCCCCATAAAAATGTATTTATTTCAGGAAACCAAAGCAGACAAAACATCGTCTTTGTCCTCATAGAACTTATGTTACAATGTCAGAGATTTGTATGTCCTCTCTTCCTACTAGAAGAAAATTTATTATTTTTATTCATTCCCTTACAGTACTTTTCTTAAACCTATTTGTCCATCAGTCTGTTGATAAGTGTAGCCTCTTCCATGCCCTTGGGTCAAAATCTTGGGGGAGGGATTTGGAAATTTATCTTTTTAACAAGTTCTTTGGGGGCTTTATATGCATTCATAGCATTTATAAAATTACCAACCATTTTTAAACAAAATGGTTTTCTCTGTGGGGCAGATGTTACCATATTCTGCTTTGGGGGAGAAAATAATCAAACATCAATTACTAGTTATGGTTCATTTTAAATATTTACCTTAAAGTTGAGATGATGGAGGTTTAGGAAGTTTTCTCATCAAAGAAGGCAAGAATGAGAGTATCTCAGAAATCCATTGTAAACAATATAAAATATATTCATTGAAGTAGTTCTTTGTGACTTAATGGCAGTCATTATAGTCAATATTCAATACTAAATAGCATGTGATACCAGCAAATACAATAAAGTAGGTATTGTTCAAATAAGAGCTAACACAGGCTTCTTGTGTGCCATATAATACTCTAAGTTCTTTACAGATATTAAGATGACTTAATTCTCAGACTATCTATGAAACAGTATTTTGTTTTTATGTCCATTTTGTTGAAGAGAAAACTGATGCACAGAGAAGATGAGTAATCCAGTCAAAGTTACAGAGCTAGTCAATTACAGTCAGGACTTGAACCTAGGTGCAAAAACTTATGTTCTCACTCTACAGGCTAAGCTTCTCTTTAGTTTTTATAATACTTCTTTAGAAGATTCATACCAAAGAAGTGGATGCAAACTTACTCTAGAAATCAAGAATTTTACTACAGCTTCCTTGCCACAATGCCTTAATCGGGCTAATTTTCATTGGACTCACTTTAAAATGAAGATAACAGTGTTGTTGAAGCAGGATCATCTAGTGGTTAGAAGTTCGAGCATAAGAGAGAGATGATTCGGAATCTCACTCTGCCACTTGCTTACTATATGACCTTGAGCAAGGTACCTCTCCAAGTCTGTTTCCTCATCTTTGAAATGAAGGATGTAATGGGACCTACATATAATAATGCTTAAAGATAAAACAAGATAGCACATTTAAAGCACTTAGAAAGTGCTCAATGAATATTATTAGTGTAATAAATAGCAGTAGCATCAATAAACTGAACTGAATGAGCTCTTGATCCTTCTACTCACACTAAAAATGGTTTCTCTTCTAATTATAAAAAATAAAAGGACGGCAACTAAATCAACAAACCAAGTCATAAACCATTAAACCAATTATGCCTTTTGTAGGAAAACCAGAAAGGTTATTGGATACATTAGTTTATATGTCATTAGTTATTCCTTCTATTCCAAAATGCATGCATTCTAGCATCCTGAGATATCTTGTATAATATAATCACTGTGACTCCAAGAGGTCAAACCAGCAGGCAGTTAATACTTCTCTGTGAAAAGCTCAATAATTCATTTTATAAATTTCAGTTCAAAGCCTACATTGAGGTTACGAAAAAATGACTTTCGGTCTGTGAACTTAATGTCAAGCTCCAGAAAAACTCTGGGCAGCACGTGTTTAGCGATTAAGTGGATGCAGACAATAAAGACATTGCCAAATTGTAAACAAGACTTGGAAATTACAGAAAATGTTGCTAGTTATTGATTACGGTGACCATTCAGTTCCTACTGAGCCACCCAAAAGAATCATTCATTTTCTAGCAGAGAGCCTGCTCATTTGCAAGATAAAAGAGAGACATTTCTGCACATGCCCATAATGTTCTTCACCACTGGGGGCAGCTTTACATAAGACTGCATTCACTGAAACCAAAGCAACAGTCCGAGCAGCTTTCAGAATGACAGTCTGCAGAAGTGAGCTGAGCGTGTGCGCGGTACGGGGCTCTCCTGCCTTCTGGGCTCCAAGGCAGCTCGCTGGCTGAACTGGGTGCTCACCACCAGAAATGCTGGGCTATGGAATACAGATGTGGCAGCTCAGGTAGCCTCGTGTTGCCTGGAGGAATACAGCATGCTTTCCGATAAGAAGAAATTGTAGAAGCCAGTTTTTTTTTTTTTAGTCCCCCTCCTCCAAAAAAAACTGTAAAGATGCAAAAACGTAATATCCACGAAGATCCTATTACCTAGGAAGAGTCTGATGTTTTGCTGCGAATGCGGTGTTGCGATTTATTTGTTCTTGGAGTGTTCTGCGTGGCTGGCAAAGAATAATGTTCCAAAATCGGTCCATCTCCCAAGGGGTCCAATTTTTCTTCCTGGGTGTCAGCGAGCCCTGACTCACTACTGTGCAGCTGACAGGGGCTGTCATGCAAGCGGCCCCCTAAGCCAAAGCAAAAGACCTAAGGACGACCTTTGAACAATACAAAGGATGGGTATGTTTTGTCATTTTTCTTCTTCTCTTCTTAAAAAAAAAAAAAACCAAAATCCTCTAGTCTGTGTATTAATTCTGCCTTAATTATTGTAGCAATTACCTTGCTCTGCTCTAAGACTATAAATTCAATTGCTCAGTGACATGTTTCTTTGCTTAACTATTAAAAAAAAACCCTAAAAACAATTTTCTTTAAATTCCAAGATGATATTTGATGTGAAATGTTGTTATCTAGATTTAAATTTCTAAAAAAAAGAAGATAGATGCTTATTATTGCTTGATTAGAAAGAAATGAATTATTTTTGGGGGGGATAACTTTTCTAAGTTGTTTTTATTTCCAGGTTTCAATGTAATTAGGCTACTGAGCGGATCAGCTGTAGCACTGGTTATAGCCCCCACTGTCTTACTGACAATGCTTTCTTCTGCCGAACGAGGATGCCCTAAGGGCTGTAGGTGTGAAGGCAAAATGGTATATTGTGAATCTCAGAAATTACAAGAGATACCCTCAAGTATATCTGCTGGCTGCTTAGGTCTGTCCCTTCGCTATAACAGCCTTCAAAAACTTAAGTATAATCAATTTAAAGGGCTCAACCAGCTCACCTGGCTATACCTTGACCATAACCATATCAGCAATATTGACGAGAATGCTTTTAATGGAATACGCAGACTCAAAGAGTTGATTCTGAGTTCCAACAGAATCTCCTATTTTCTCAACAATACCTTCAGACCTGTGACAAATTTACGGAACTTGGATCTGTCCTATAATCAGCTGCATTCTCTGGGATCTGAACAGTTTCGGGGCTTGCGGAAGCTGCTGAGTTTACATTTACGGTCTAACTCCCTGAGAACCATCCCAGTGCGAATATTCCAAGACTGCCGCAACCTGGAACTTCTGGACCTGGGATATAACCGGATCCGAAGTTTAGCCAGGAATGTCTTTGCTGGCATGATCAGACTCAAAGAACTTCACCTGGAGCACAATCAATTTTCTAAGCTCAATCTGGCCCTTTTTCCAAGACTGGTGAGCCTTCAGAATCTTTACTTGCAGTGGAATAAAATCAGTGTCATAGGACAGACCATGTCCTGGACCTGGAGCTCATTACAAAGGCTTGATTTATCAGGCAATGAGATTGAAGCTTTTAGCGGACCTAGTGTTTTCCAGTGTGTCCCGAATCTGCAGCGCCTCAACCTGGATTCCAACAAGCTCACATTTATTGGTCAAGAGATTTTGGATTCTTGGATATCCCTCAATGACATCAGTCTTGCCGGGAATATATGGGAATGCAGCAGAAATATTTGTTCCCTGGTAAACTGGCTGAAAAGTTTTAAAGGTCTGAGGGAGAATACAATTATCTGTGCCAGTCCCAAAGAGCTGCAAGGAGTAAATGTGATTGATGCAGTGAAGAACTATAGCATCTGTGGCAAAAGTACCACGGAGAGGTTTGATCTGGCCAGGGCTCTCCCAAAGCCGACATTTAAGCCCAAGCTCCCCAGGCCGAAGCATGAGAGCAAACCCCCTTTGCCCCCCACTGTGGGAGCCACGGAGCCCGGGCCAGAGACGGATGCTGACACTGAGCACATCTCTTTCCATAAAATCATCGCAGGCAGCGTGGCCCTTTTCCTGTCCGTGCTCGTCATCCTGCTCGTTATCTACGTGTCATGGAAGCGGTACCCTGCCAGCATGAAGCAGCTGCAGCAGCGCTCCCTCATGCGCAGGCACAGGAAAAAGAAAAGACAGTCCCTAAAGCAAATGACTCCCAGTACCCAGGAATTTTATGTAGATTATAAACCCACCAACACGGAGACCAGCGAGATGCTGCTGAATGGGACGGGACCCTGCACCTATAACAAATCTGGCTCCAGGGAGTGTGAGGTATGAACCGTTGTGATAAAAGCGCTCTTAAAAGCTGGGAAATAAGTGGTGCTTTATTGAACTCTGGTGACTATAAAGGGAACGTGGTGCTCCTCTCCCTCTTCCCTTCCCTCTCACTTTGTTGGTGAGGTCCTTCACTGTCCGTTTTAGTACCTTCATAATACTGGTCATTTTCCTTTCATACATAATTAACCTATTGAAATTTAAATACCACAATCAATGTGAAGCTCGAACTCTGGCTTAATATAATGCCTATTGTGTTAAGGCCCTTTATTGATTCCATTAATGTCACACTTGTTTTAAGATAAAACTTCTTTCATAAGTAACCCCCCACATCTGCTGTTATTCTCCGTCTGGGAGGACCAGATCTATAGTTCTAGGAGGTTTGCAGTTCAGTGGCAAATAAAGGAAAAAGTGAGTGATCCTAGGTACTTGGAGCTTGAACTGATTTGAGGAAGATGACTTGACTGATGACAGGAACATTTAGAGACAGTCTTAACCCAATGCCTGGCTTAAAAACAAAATTGCAGGAAACTATCAAAAGATGGTGCTCTGTTAAAGCAGCACCAGGAATCGTTTCCAGGGGTGTTTGAATTACATTAAGGCAAGCCTAGGGAAAACTGCTGAAGGGTTAAAATGCTGCAAGTAGACAGCTGCAAAATGTGAGGAGATGGTAAAAATACAAAGTTTTAGACTCGAAGCCTCATCTCTGAAACCCATCTCTGTTAAATCAGACTAGAGGTTTCACTGTCAGTTTCCTCTAGCCTCCACACTTCCAGAATAAATAATTAAGTAAAATAGTCAAGAGGCAAATTTGGGGAGGCAGATTGCTCCACTGCCCCTCACCTTCAGGATTTTTCAGAGATGAGGCTTGCAAATGGGAATGCAGCTCGCTAAATGCGTGTGGTTGGAAGCCTACCTGAATTTCTCTTTCCAGCTCTTTTAAGGACCCTAATGTAGGAAGTGGAATCAAGAGCTCTGTCTGTCCTTCTGTTTGGGATTTGTCAGGCTGTCCTGTTGTGTTCCACAACCTGCCCTGCCCACACACCAGTCCCCTGATGACTGACACTTCATTCAGAGGTGTAAAGAGAACACAGTCTAAGATATGCTTTCCACCAACAGCCTCATTGAAAAGGATGATTTTGATAACACCTTAATAAACGTATAAAATAAATCTTAGAGGAAAAAAGACCAACTCTATGGCGGTTGTCTTTTGCTCTTCTATTGCTGATGTTATAGTGTCCCTATGTTCCTCTGTATTGTGAACTCATTCATCAGTGTGATTCTGTACAGACCCTGTTGGCAATCTGCAAGCTGCATGCATGTTTTTATGTCAATGGTGAAAGTTTATTGACTGCAGTGCAAATATCATAGCTTTGGTATTTAAGTAACTTTGACCACAGTTCATTTATATTTTAGATAAATGTCTTTAGTCTGTACCCTCTTTCATACTCCAAAATGAAGAATTCTATTACAGGAGAAAAAATTAGGAATTGCAACATTGAGCCTGTTTCATTTAACTTGGCTTGCCAAGCTCTACATCTTTAACCATGTCCCTGTTCTTTCAAAACAGAATCACTGCAGAAAAAAGAAAAAGTAAATGGCTGTATTTTACCAGCATTTTTATATAGTTTGGAGGCTTTTCACTGCTGAAAGAAAAAAATCTAGGCAAGTTACCATGAAATATAGTTGCAAGGAAGCCAGATTATAAAAATCATACTTTTATAAGCAATAACGGAAAAGGGACATCTAAAGTGGATTTCTCAAGGTACTTTGATTAAATCTCTAAATAGATGCCAGTTCAGAAAAGCATCATAGCTACAATATATTTACCCATGAATAATTGTTGGATATAGATTTCTTAATGGCAAATGGTCACGGATTCCCAATTGATTAATAATGCAGATAGTTCCTTACAATACTATGAACTGGATGACTGAGCCTACTGTGATGTTTTTCACTGAAGTTGTGATTTTACATTTTTCATAAAATGTCAGTAAATACATATTCCATCAAAAAAAGAAATTTCCTTTGGTCAGCTCATTTTTATCTGTACAAAAGATGACTGTATTAATTAAATGCAGTGTTAAAGTGAAAAAGCCCATTTCTATTCTTTGACTTGACCTTCTGCCTCATTTGTCATGGATACCAAATAAATTAAGGCAAGGCATCTTTTTCCTTATATTTTAAAATTCTTACAAATTCTTAGTGCTGTGGTACTGCTAGTATATATATAAAATATGTGTGCTGTATTAAAAGTGTTTCTAAAATTCAAAGCCACTGGGTGTATAAGATTACATGAATACCCAACATTTTGAAGGCTGGTTATTTTTTAATACCTAACTTCAACTACTTACAAATTTAGTAATTTCTGCCAAAATAAAACTCCTTAGATTATAAAAGTAATTTAAATACAGGACATGAAACTACAAAAAAACAGTCTTTTCCCCCTCTTTGGGAATGAAGCTTCTCTAGTTCTCAGAATATAATTCTTGTAGGTTAGACAATCACTAGTTCACCACTATAAACCAAACAAAGCCAATTGGCAAATGTTTTCCTACTCAAATTCGGAGTCCTCACCCCCACCCTATGGCACTTTCTGGACTATATACCATACATCTATTCTCATAAGTATTTTAAACTCATTGCGTATGAGAAAAATATAATTGATATTTCATTTTCTATTCCATATTTACATTGTCTGACTTCCCTCAGAGATGACAACAGGTAAATAAACAGCCTGACCTGTTGAACTATACAGCAGACGCATCGATGCAGCATGGATTCAGTCAGTACTTTGAATGCTTTACCAGAGAGAGAGAGGAAACACAGTTTAGTCTCTGAACCATCTGTGGTTTTTTTTCCCCCAATTTTTATGAGCCCCAGTACTTGGAGTGAAACTGCAGCATGGAGTTAATAGTCCAAGTACCACAGTCTCCTAAGTAACACTTATGCGAGATATATTGCTTTTAAATGAGTTTATATTTTCCAAGGATGTTGACATTACATCTTTTCAAAGATTTTAAACCATTTTTTACTTGATTTGGTGAGTCAACTACCTAAGCAAACAGGCAGGAAACTGTATTTCTGTGGAGCAGCAGTGACCTCCAGTGGCTGGTTAGACTAACCACAGCTGAGACACATTCTATTTCGTTTTTTATCCTGAATCCTTATGTAAACGTGGTTGACGACATATAGGTTTTGACTCGTGAATCAGATTTGAATTTTACTTAGTTCATCTCCCTTGGGAATACGGTTGTAGTGTAATTTTTAAAAATTATGTTGTGCATATTGACTTATTTAGTAACACCCAGAATTGGAACTGAGGGCAAGAAATAAAGTGTACAAGTAGAAGAGCAAGTGATAATGTAACACGAATAGATAAGAAATGTTTTAAACTATTTATAATCATCGACATTGGACAAATATTCATATTTTCATTAAGTGAGTTAACATGTTGCACAGGCAAGATACTGAAATATAACGTCATTAGATTGGGGAAAACACATTTGACTACGAATATTGAAAGGATCAGCATCAGTTATTTGCCAGTCAGTATGAATGTCTGAGCTATCAAGTGAGGGAGGCCTCCCATTCCGGCTCTAAGACTCTCCAGTTTGTTGATCATAGCCAGTGACCTGTGCTTTGCCCCACTGCTCTCTTCCTCCCTACCCGCTTCAGTCAGCTGAACACTGGTTCTATTAGGCTCTCTGACAATGATGTTACAGTCTAAGAGGTGATGATTCATAGATAATGAAATTATGCTCTCCTTCTGAGGAAGGATAATGCAGAGTCAGATTCAGAGATTTGACAAGTATTTTTAAGATGCTATAGGTGCATGAAATAACTTCTCTCCCCTTGACATTTACCAAGAGAACTTAAATAGTTTAAAGTGTGGATTCGAGTAGCATCAGAAACAAGTATCAAGCCATACAGCCTAAAACAAAATGAGTTCCAGACATGACAAATGAGAACTGAGCCACGAGAAATGAAAAATTCAGCAACTGTGTTATGTCCTTTATTCCCTTTTCCCTGGATTCTCATTAGAATCTGGGTCTGTAGCAAACCCATGGCATTTTGCTATACTTGTATTCTCTTAGCTACCTACGATAAAAATCAGAGGCAGCTGGAAGAAACTATAAACATGAAAAATAATATCAGTGAATTTGAATTATAAATGTTGTAAGAGAAACAGAACTGATGAAAGCTAAGTAGCTTGTATTAAATAAATCTCGAAAACTAATAAAATAACACACAGGTGAGAGTGACAGTTTCTCTAATCAAATCACGATAGCCTACAGAATTAGAGCTGCTTTTGCCTAGTCTCAAAAATTACTGTGATGTTTGCATAGTTGGATAAAATACAGTAGAAATACTGCAGAGCAAATCTACTAAAAAGAGTTAAAGATTCTTTTTGATTTGAGAAAAATATCACAGCCATATATGGTAGAGTATGGGCCTTAGATTCAAATTTCTCTGACATTTGCAAATCAAATAATCTCAGGGAAATTTCTTAGCTTTTCTGGACTTGAAGTTCCCTATCTGTAAAATGGGCAAATATTATTGACTTCACATGGTCATTGGGAGGACAAAATGTGAGCAATACTTTGTAAACTCTAAAATGGCAGCTACTTATTATTTTCCAAGAGCACTTAGTGAGATATTCAGCTGTTTGCCAATGTTCTCTGTTTGGCCTGGGTTAAAATAACATTACTAACCTCTGTGTAACAGAAGCCCAAATACATTTTTACATTAATATGAATTTTGAGACTTGGCAGTGAATCTAGGACTTTAATTAGTCTTTGACTTTCAGTTTCCATAAAAACAGTTTCTTCCACCCCATGTTGGTGAAGTCTATGAGTTATCAATAATGATCACAATGTACCATAGACATAAATAGACACCAGCCAGACAGCACTGAACCAAAAGCTTACCAAACTAAATCAAAATTATAATTTTGTCCCAAATCAGGTCATTACAGCAAAGGCTTTCAAATCAAC